TCCTGTTGGTCAAGCAACAAGAACAAAATGTACAATATTGAACTCGTTCCCTCAGATGTTCAGAAACCCTCTTTGGGTTCCTTCTTATTGTGTGCAAGATCAGTCTTTTATGTCACGTAACCACAGGCGGTTTTTCTTTGCTGTATCTACTAGATCTCTTAGTATTTCCCACACCCCCGAGATTTCACATCTCTTATACTGAGCCCTGCAGTTCAGCCCTAAGTGGGTGCACTCAATCAAGACACTGAGGGGCGAAGGACCGCGGTGCTAGGATACAGACATGAGATCTGGATTCCTCCTGCGCAGCACACTTGGGGACAAGGCTCTACAGGCAGTGGCTGCTCTGCGGGGGGCTGCCAGCGCACAGAGCCTCAAGGGTGCTCAGGAAGGAGGAAGAAATGGGCGTGGATTCAGCCATCACCCAATACATTCACCATGCAAGCCCAGCTGCACCACTTAAAATGTATATAATAGACGGTATATTCTTTAGAGCTGTTTTAAGTTTAGATAGTAATTGAGCAGCAGTTTCCATCTGCTCCTCAGTTTGCCGTTATTAAAACTGGGTTGGAGTAGCACATTTGTCACAGTTGATGAGCCCCTATGGCTACATTGTTATTGACGAAAGGCCCTTGTTTGCCTTAGGGTTTGCTCTCTGTGCCCTACCTTCTATGGGTTGGATATATGTTTAACGACGTGTGTCCACCATTACAGCATCCTACAGAAGGAATATTGTCACTGCTCTAGAACCTCCCCGTGCTGCTCCTTCCTCTTGTCCATTTTCAATAGTTGGAAACTGATGTTCAGAATACATTGGGCTTCTTCAAGCGCCAGCCTCAACCCAGTGTCCTGAGGGCGCACAGGCTTGGCATCTGAGCAGAACAGGGTTCGAGAGCAGCTCTATTGCTCTGGGAGGCTGAGGGGCTCTGGGCAGTCCCTGCACTCTGCATCCCATCACAGGCTGCCCAGCTCTCAAATGGTGCTAAGACACGTGGTGGCAGATGACAAGAGAAAGTGCGAAAGACAAACAACGCCTGCAACCTTGCCTGGCACCTGGCAGGGCTCATGAGGGTTAATGCCCCTTCTCTTTCCTGGACTGGGCTCTTCAAGGCGGGGCTGTGTTGTTGCCATGTCCCGGGCTTGTGTCTGGTCAATAGCTGGCACAAAGCGGCCTCTGGATCGCAGTAGTGTGCCTGGCATTACTGAGTCAGGCCAGGTCGACAGTGTGCATTATCTCATCTGATAAATGTGTGTGGCATCTATTGTCATGGCCCAGAGCAAGAATGGCCCACTCAGAGCTCCAGACTCCAGAGGCAGTTTTCAAAATGAATGGGAGAAAGATGAAAACAGAAACTTGTGCCAGTCCTGTGGCCGCTAGACAAAACCATGTTCTCTGTGAGAAAAGATGGCCAAACCCAACTTAAAGGGAACCATGGCTCCAGATGAACTGAGCAGCTGGAAGTGAGGGGTGGGTGATGCGCCTGGATCCTGCAAGCAGGACAGACCCCAGGGGCATGGGACGCAGTGACTACCCTCCTCTCTCTGGCAAAGCAATGCAGTGAGGGGACCTAGGCAATGGTATGCAGGCAGCGGAGGACTGGGTCGGCCTTAGCCCACAGGGCCCCTGCACCGTCTGCAGGGCATGGTTGCTGAGCAGTGTGCTTTGGCCGGGGAGCCAGACGGAAGCATTGCCATACCTTATTGTTCCGGGGCCCTTGGACACTTGTGGAGAGGGTCTGCTACCCTTGCTAGCTGGAGGAGCAGGCCCAGAGTCCTGCCGCCGCGGGCTCCCCATCACAGGTGCATTTACTGCTGCTGAAGACAAGGTTCAGTCTGCAAAGGGCACCCATGAGATAAAGCTGGGGCCTAAATCTGCTTTATCAAATTAAGAAAAACCAACTTCTGCAGAGCTTTATGCCAATCACTATTCTTTTCTCTTTACAAATATTAACTAACTCAATCATGGGAAAACCCTGAGGAGGTAGATACTGTTATCATCTTTGTTTTTACAGATGAGGGAAGTCAAGTCACATTAAGTAACTTGTCCAGGGCCCTGACAGGGCGAGTGGGTGGTGGTGCCACACTGGTGCCCAGCTGGCTCCATAGCCCATGTGCTCAGCCACCTGCCTGCTGCCTTCTAGTGACGGCCAGCAGTGAGACCTGGGAGAGAGCCCAGGACAAGCCCAGCATGGTGCTAAGGCGCTTTAGAGGGGCAGTTGAAGAACTTGAATGAGTAAGCTAGAATGAGGGAAGAGAAGATGTTGGCTAGGGCAGTGCTGACTGGAGGCAAGAGACGGGAGGTGGAGGGGCAGGTCAGGGCGGATTGGGGGAGGCAGGGAGGAGCTCAGTCACTTGTCCAGAAATCTACCCACATTGTCTCCCGGTTGGACTGAGCATGGCCGGCCAGCAGAGAGCAGCCCCCAGAGGCACCGCACAGCTCGTGTCTGTGGCAGGACTCAGGAGGGAGCTGAGTAGGGCCCTGAGGAAGAAACCTGGGCTCAGCGGCAGCCAGCCTGCAGGGGCACCAGCAAGACATGATGAGCAGACCCTGAGGGCTGAGCGAGGGGCCCGGACTGCTGGGGTGGGCCGAGGTCCACCTCAGGTGCTCTGAGAAGCCAGGGGGATGTTTATACTTGATGCAGTAGGAATGAGGGAGTCATGAAGGCTTTTGAGCAAAGGTTCCATAAATAGAGCACTGTTTTTCATGAAAATAACACAGTGCCTACCTTGCACATCATAGATTCTTTGACAAGTGTTTGTTGAATTGGATTGAATGTTAGGACAAAGAGTTCTGAGAGTGCACGGGGATTTAAGTCCCAAATTGTTAGTATTTTAAGTGGGAAAAGAGTCAGAGACAGTCGGCCTCCCCCACTGTCACTAGAAATGCAGACCACAGACTTCACTCCTGGGACTGAGTCCCCCTGGGTTGGCTCCCTGCTTTCTTGCCCTGCCTGAGACCTTGGGAACACGTGCATTCATCCAAAGAAATGGAACATTCATGCAATCTGTTAAAGTCTCCAGTGAGGGTAGTGCCAATGTTTTCTCCAATCCCAGAACATGAAATGCATTTGAAAAATTCTGCAAGTTTCCCACCTAGAAGAGTAATTTGTACGTTTATGTCCTTTGATCTGGTGTTCTCGTCAGCTTGTGACAGCCAGGCTGGGGAACTGGGAAGCAAGATTTTTCTGTTGGAGAAACAGGGTCTGAATCTTGTTCACCATAACTGTGGTCATTCATTCACCTAACATTAACTAATAACTGGTTACATGCGACTGGTTGTAGGGGGGTCTAGCAGGGAAGGCAATGGTGACAAATACCTTGACAGGGGAACCTTTTTCTCCCATCAGGACTCCTGTGTATTGGTGGTGCAGCTGAGACTTACAGGCTGGCAGGGCCAGAGGAGGAGGAGAGGGGAGGGCTCTGGGCAGAGGGAGTCACATGTGCCAAACCTGGGCCTGGGAGGGGATGGTGCCCATGTGCTTGAGCAGCTGATGGGAAGGCTGGGTGGCGCAGCACAAGAAGACAAAGGGAGATAGGGCCCAAGAGATGGGCCACTCAGTCCCGTGGGGCCTCAAATTCATTGGGAGAGCTGAGATCCTAAGGACAAGGGGGTCAGATGAGAGATTACAGATAGGATGGGGTAGTGTCTGTGTGTGTGTGTGTGTGCGCGCCTGCGCATGTGCATGTGCAGACAGTAAAGAAAGAAATTGTAAGTTTAAAAGACCACTCCAGGTGTGGCATGGAGAGCTCATTGGCAGGAGGAATGTGCAGTTGCAGGAGGCCAGGGAGAAGCATCCAGGGGAGGTGGGGCCGAGGGCAGTGGAGAGAGAACCCATAGCTCCTGGGGAAGGAGTGGGGACACAGCAGTAGGTGGCAGGGAGCAGCGTGGCTGAGGGTCTACTGTTGGAGAAGGTAAGACACTCTGGAAGTGCTGCAGGCTGGGGTGCTTAGGAGGCTCAGAGTCAGTCCCTTTGGGGCTGAGGGGACTGAGGGATGGTGAGGGAGCCCCCTGGGTGACATAGGGCTCTAGAGCAGGTGGTGCTCTGGGCTCTGGCCCTCCCGAGAGTCACCAGCACATTGGGGGTTACTGACAGCATGGAATATGCTGAGCTTTCCTTAAGCAAAGTGCATGAGTCTCAGTCAAACCAGAACAGGCCTGGTGTGTGGTATGTCAAGGCAATTAGTGGCATAGATGGACAAGGAGGGCTGACTGAGTTCAGAGGATCAGAGGGCACGGCATGTAGTGTCCCAAAACGCCAAAGCAGGCATGTTTCTGCTATAGGGATTTTTGTGTGTCTGAATCATACCATTAAAAAAAAAGTAGTGCTGAGATTTCAGGAAACATTTATTGAATTCTACAAAAAAAGGAAAGAGAAATGAACTCAGTTGAGGGCTCCTGTTGGTCATGGGAGATGAGGCTGTGGGAAGGGGCAGGATCCAGAGCCTCACCAGCCCAGCCCTCATCAGGGAGGAGGAGGCATGGAGACCCAGCGGCAGCGGGTGGAGATGTGGGGCAGGAAGCACGTCTCCTCCCGTATGTGCCAAGCCAGGTGGTGGTCTGAACATGCACACTGCCTCTAATCTGAGCAGCTGCCCTAGAACTCCCTCAGCTATGATGCAGAGCCTGGCCCAGCGAGGTGGAGGGACATGGCCGAGGTCTCCTGCCTGGCTAAGGCTGAAGTGAGGATCCGCTGTGCTCTTCCCGCCACACTATTTAGAACCACATGCCTACCTGTGTGGATGGGAGTCCCGGTACCCCAGAGGCACCACATGGCTGTCTTAGCATTAAGATGATCAAACTCCGGGTTGTAAATTCACAAAGGGTGAAAGGCTTTCCTCTTTCTGAAGGGTCCAGCGAGGTGAGTGGCAACTGGGGGCTACTGGACCAGGTGGCAACCCTGACCTGGGTGCAGACCCACATCGCGGTGTTCGGTGGGGACCCTCGGCGCGTGGCCCTGGCAGCAGACCGTGGCGGAGCCGATGTGGCCAGCATCCACCTTCTAACCACCAGGGCTGCTGACTCCAGACTCTTCCGGAGAGCCGTACTGATGGTGAGTGGCCTCTTCTGCCTTCAGCCTTGCTGCAGGCACTGGCCAGGTGAGGCGGTCCTCTGCCTCTTGAGACGAGTCGGTTCCAATCACTTGCTTCTCGCTTATCCTTTGTTCTCAGTGTGTTCTCCTCACGGCCCCATCTTGCCACATACATGTGACTCTGAGGTGCTGAGGGCCCCCGACTGCTGTCCACACATACCTAAAGTGCTAAAAACTCTATTTGGCCAAGTGTTCCTAGTTCCTGGGAATGCCTCACTAGGGTTTACTTGTCCGAACTCTTGATTATGTCCTTTGTCAACAAACATAACAGGATGGAATGTAAAATGAGAGGCTTTCTGGTGGAGCAAAAGTCAATGGTGAGGGTACAGTCTGGCCAGCAGAGTGCTAACTACGCTCAACAGTATCACCCAGAACAGAAGAGACACAAGAGGACGTGCAGCTGCCTCCCAGTGTTGCTTCGCTCATCTGCTCTGGGTGTGAACTTGCGTCTCCCCTGAAGCTGTCTGGTTTCTCTAAAAGCTGTGCTCCGCTACCCCGGAGATTCGGCTCTCTTGGCATTTCACTGTGGGACTTTATGGGGTATCTCGGTCCCCTCACTAATCCCTCCACCTCATTGCCTGAGGTGTGAGGAGAGGCAGGGGACCTCAGAGCTTGTCCACAGGGCTGGTCAAGGAATGGCGGGCAGCTGAGTCAGCAGCCACAGGGGGAGGCACAGGGTCCCAGTGGTCTGGCCAGCTGAGCCAACCATTAAATGAAGGCAAAGAAGAGACTCAGGGCCTGTGCTGCTGCTGGCTGGCCTGCTAGGTGACGCTGACGACGCTGACGCTGACAATGATATGATGATGACGATGATATAATGATATTGATGGTTATGATGTAATGATATTGAGGATAGAATAATTATGATGGAAGATATAACCTGGTTGGCCACAGCATAAGCCTTGATGACTATTCTGCTATTGGGTAGGTTTTAATTCTATGAAGTGTCCAGTTTGTGCCAGCTGCTGTGCCAGGGGGCTGGAAATGCCATGCTAAATTATTCATGTCAATAATTGTAGTTTACTGGAGGGTGGGGGACAAACGCTTCAAGCAGATATTTAAAGGAGGATCTTGGGGCAGCTCAGAGGGAAGTCCCCAGCCAAGCACAGAAGAAGAAGGGAGTGTCCAGGAACACCAGGGAGCATCTGAGCAAAATGCCAAAGATGGTAGGCAGTAACATAGCCAGAGTCCTGGCAGAGCTTGGCTCTTCTGAGATGTGCCCACCCTGCAATGCAGAGGAGAAGGGGCCCCCGTGGGCAGCACAGGCGTGGAGGCTGGGAAGCAGCTAACAGCCAGGTTGCGCTGAGCGTCGTGGGTGTCATCCCCAGGGGATGGAGCTGTGGAGTTCCGTTTGTTGCTGGTGTGGTGTGGTGTGGCGTACCATGGTGTGGCACGGTGTGGTGTGGTGTGTGGCGTGGCATGGCGTGGTGTGGTGTGGTGTGTGGCGTACCATGGTGTGGCACGGTGTGGTGTGGTGTGTGGCATGGCGTGGTGTGGTGTGGTGTGGCGTGGCGTACCATGGCGTGGCACAGTGTGGTGTGGTGTGGCGTACCATGGTGTGGCACGGTGTGGTGTGGTGTGTGGCATGGCATGGCATGGTGTGGTGTGGTGTGGTGTGGCATACCATGGTGTGGCACGGTGTGGCGTGGTGTGGGGTGTGGCATGGCGTGGTGTGGTATGGCGTGGTGTACCATGGTGTGGCACAGTGTGGTGTGGTGTGGCGTGGCATACCATGGTGTGGCGCAGTGTGGTGTGGTGTGGCGTACCATGGTGTGGCACGGTGTGGCGTGGTGTGTGGCGTGGCATGGCGCAGCGTGGTGTGGTGTGGTGTGGCGTGGTGTGGTGTGGTGTGGTGTCTCCCATTTTAACAATTTTCAAGTGTACAATACAGTGGCACTAGGCACATTCACAGTATTGTGCAGTCATCACCACTGATCATTTCCATAACTTTTTCATCATCCCAAACAGAAACTGTACCTTTCTAACAACAGCTCCCCGTTACCACTCCCTTCCAGCCGCTGGTAACCTGTTTGCTTTCTGTCTCTGTAAATGTGCCCTTTCTAAGTACCTCACATTAGTGGAATAATATGAGATTTTTCCTTTTGTGTCCCATGTATTTCACTCAGTATAATGTCAAGGTTCATCCATGTGCTAGCAGGTGTCAGAGTTTCCTTCCTATTTAGGCTAAATAATACTTCATTGTGTGTAACTACCATGTTTTGTTTATCCATTCATCTGGTGATGGCTTGGGGGTTGTCTGTACCTTTTGACTATTGTATAATAATGCTGCAGTGGACACTGGTGTGCCATCAGAGGGCTTCAAGCAGGTGGGAAACTTGTCTCCCTAGGAAGATTCTCCTGGAGTTGGGTGGAGGTTGGACCTGAGAGGTACAGCGCAGCAGGCAGAGAAGGCAGTGAGGAGAATCTTAAGTAACACAAGTTAAGGAAAGACGAAGAACCACTGAGACGACCAACGCTGTAGACCTGCTCACAGTTCTAAGGCCATCTAACAACACTCTGGCTCGGTCCAGCCTTCCTGAGATCCCTTGATCATGAGGAGGATAGGAGTGGCATTGTTTGGGCATAACGGATACTGGATCAGCACTGTCACCATCCGTGACAGGAAGCAGTGCCACCTGCCAGTTTATCCTTCAGCCATAGGAGCCTTCTAATGTTCCTTGAAGGGTCCATGCTCTGTGCTGCTTCACACAGGCACTTTCCTCTGCATGGAGCCCTTCTCTCCATCTTCCACTAGTTGGCCTGTCCTATTTGTCCCCCAGGGAATCCTTCCAGACCTCCCTGCCTGGAACTGGACCCCCTTCATATGGCCTGTGCTCCCTGTACTTCTCTGTTCAGAATTTATTGTGATTTCTCATCAGTAAATAATTATTCCCACTACCAAGTCTGTCTCCCTCACAAGATTATAAGCTGTGGGAGGGCAAGGTCTAGGTGTGCCTTGCTCTCCACAGGGCCCCAAGTACCTGACACATCTGTTCTATAATTAACATCTGGGCAGAGAATGAGCAGCTGGATGGGGAGTGTGCCCAGGGACCCGCAGACTAGCTCACACGTCTCGCTCCCACTCCTTTCTTGTATTTCTTATCCTTTGACTCAGGTTTTGTGGGTTTTTTTGCTGTCTGTCCCTCTGTAGTGCGTCTGTCTTCGTGGCAGGAGGTCTGAGCACAGGCATCTTTCAATTCCTGGTATTGAAAACAGACGTCCCTGAATTTTAGTTAATCCTGAAAAGATGTCCAAGGGCTCTTTCAGAAACCAGACACTCAGAGGGACCCAGAAAACAACAAAATACCTTCCCGTAGACCCAGAATGCAGAATTTTCTTCGTGAAAATTTTGGAAAGTTTAAGTGTTTGGGGATTTTCAAAAACTAATCTGTTTTAGCAAATGGTAGTGTATTTAAAAATAAACTCTCCATCTGTTGTAGTCTTTAGAAGCAGCTTTTACAACTGCTCCCAGCAGTCTTTGGGATGCATGTGAAATTATTTGGAATTGAGCAAATGAAAATACTTCAATATATCAGCAGTTCTTAAATATGTTCTTTACCAACAGATATTTAAGGAATGACTGTGAGTTGGTGATAGATTCTTGGATAAAATCTTAAGTCTTTCTACAAATCTTGAGGCCAATTGTTGAAATATCAGGCAAGACAGACTCCTGTAATAATTAATAATTTATATTTATTTGTTTAGGACATTTGTGGCCACAAAGCACTTTCAGCATACAATTTGACCCTCTGAATCACATGTGTCTGAGATTATTTTTAATAAATATATTGGAAAATTTTTTGGACATATGTGACAATTTGAAAAGACATTTTGTTTTCCTCTAGTTACTTTATGGTAAGAATCCAACATATGATACATGTAATATACAAAATGTGTGTTAACTGCTTATGTTATCAGTAAGGCTTCAGGTTAACAGTAGGCTCATAGTAGTTAAGTTTTTGGTAAGTTAAGTTTTATGTGGATTTTGACTGCAAGGGGGCTTGACACCCCTAACCTCCAGTTGTGTAAGGGTCAACTGTATCATCTCATAGATTGCTCACATTAATTGGTGTGGGGTCTTTATATTATTTCCAATCTAGACATAAGAAATCCAAGTCTCAGAGTGGCTTAGGGACCCTCTAAAGAACACATAGCAAAGCAACTGCCCAAAGGTGCTAGAACCTAAAGCCAAATCCTAACTTTTCCTATTTTATCAGGCCTCTTCTTCAGGAACTCGGGCCTCTATCAGGATGTCAAGGGCTAAGAGAAACAGCCCAGGCCTAGGATCAGGCAAAGCCAGCATTTGGATTCTGGCATTGGGTAAAATCCTTCACCCTTGCATTCTTCATGAATAAAATTGGATTATTAATTCTGTCTCCCAGGGACTCAAGAAGTTGTCATCGTATAAAGTTTGCAAAGTGTACTGCACACCCTAGGAACTCAAGAAACCCAGGTTCCCCCCTTTTACTAATCAAAGGCAGTTACAAACAAAAGCAGATCTGGGAGATATTTCACCTGTCCTGGGGGCTAGGATGAAAAAGAAAGAGGGGTGACATGTTGCAAATATGCATTCCGTGCCTCTGATGCCCAGGCCAGTTTTAGGAGAAGACAGGGGAGCTCATGTCCTCTGTGTATGATTCACAAGACCTTGAAGAGAGGTCCATGGCCCTCCTACAATACTGCCCCAATTCTGCATTCCTTCGACTGACTGCCAGGCCTTGTGAATTGGCCTCAAGTTAACTTTTCCTGTCTCCGTTCCTGCTCCATTCGTACAGGAACACCACAGTCCTGGCTCAGTAGGCATCACCAGTCTTAGACAATGCCATGCCATCCTCTAGATCATTCCCTTGCTGCTCTGTGGTCAGCTCCACCTGGAAAATCACTCCCTCACTCAGGGCTCAGCTGAAACAGGGCCTCTGAGCCTTTTCTGTCTCTTAAAATAGAGCGAATCCCACTTTAGT